GAAACCTCCCCCATTGGTTCGACAAGATATACTTTTTTTTCCTAAAATTGCTTTACCAAAAAAAGAGATTTTGTATTGCAGAGGAGTGATGGAGGAGGAGCCCCAGAAGCTGTTGATGAAGCAAATGGACATATGACTTGTGGTTGCGACAGCATTTCCTATTGCAAGGTTTGGTACTAATATTGTCATATGTACTGCAATTAGCACAATACTAACAAATTAAAATTAATTCTAGCCAAAACATGGGATTTGTCAAATCCTTCATTTTTTTTTATTCATGGTCTTCAAATCATTTAATAGACATAGCCCACCTCAAATGTATTGTAAAAAATGCTTATTTTTTATATTAACTCGGGAAAGTTGATGTTCTATAACTATTTATTTTACTGCCATTTGATTAAATGTTACATCAAACGTGACAGGCCAATGCTACATTCGGTATATGCGACATCCCCGTGCTTTCACCTCCACCACCATCTCAATCGTCGCCGACAGGAACGCCACAACAGCCCAGCAACAATTCTCCAATAAGCAAATCTCTGCAGCTTCATTTGTTGATAGGACAAATATTTGCCATATTTTTCCTGTTGTGTTCATAATTGCTAAATGATACGAAATTTCATTTGACAATAATGTATACGTACAAAGCCTTACATTATGTGCTATGAAACGGATCGCAAGATAATGATAATAATAAAATAATGAAGAAGAAAACAAGAACGCAAGAAATTTATGTGGAAACTCAATTCGAGAAAAAAATCATGAGCAGAGGAGAACAATCACTATAATCAATAATCTTGTATTTACAATATCAAGATTTCCATAATCTCAATTGAAATCTAAACTCTCAATCTCTCAATATGTTGTTGAAGATGTGAAGAATAAAATATGGATGTTATATTATGAAGATACAATGTGGAAATATATATAAACTCTCTTATTGGAGTCCAGAATGGAGAAGAAGTCCCAAAATTCAGATAAAAATGAAAAATCGAGATCAAGTTACTGTAACAGTGCCTCGGTGCTTCACCTAGCGCTTGGGCGCTAATTCTCAAGTAAATATTCTAAAACATGCATTTTTGCCAGTCCATTTTCAAGATAAAAAAACTCCTAATTATTATTGAAATTTGATTTTCTCAACTTAGAACTCTACAAACCCAATTACCTTAGACTTTCTTCAATTAACCAAATACCAAATCACATGGAATTTGGATCACACCACAACAAATCTCCACATTGAGCCAACACATCTTCAAGTAAACACCACTTCTCATCTTCCAAACAAGCCCCAATGGACTAAATCAATGACAAACACCCTTTAAGTTCAAACAATGCTCAAACTTAGCAATAGGAAGTGATTTTGTCATCATATCAACATGATTATCTTTGGTATCAACCTTGCTCACTACAATATCACCACGAGCAATCACATCACATACAAAATGGTACCTCACATCAATGTGCTTAGTCCTCTCGTGAAACATTTGATCCTCAGTCAAGAAAATTACACTACGACTATCACAGAATATTGTAGATATCTACAAGTCTGCACTGATTTCACCAATCAATCCTCTCAACCACATAACCTCCTTACATGCTTCTGTAATGGCCATATATTCTGCTTCTATTGTAGACAAAGCCACTGTATTTTATAAAGTAGCTTTCCAACTGATAGCACAGCCACTAAGAGTAAACACATACTCTGTTAGCGATCTCCTCTTATCAAGATCCTCTATATAATTTGAATCCACATAACCTATGACTCCATCTGAATTTCTACCAAAATGCAAACAAGCATTTAAAGAGCCCCTCAAGTATCTGAAGATCCACTGCACTGCTTTCCAATGTTCCTTGCTAAGATTAGCCATGTATTTGCTAACTGCACTAACTGTCTGTGCCAAATCAGGTCTTGTACAAACCATAGTATACATGAGCGAACCAACTGCACTGGAGTAAGGAACTCGAGACATATAATCAATGTCTTCATCCGACTGTGAACACAAGTCAGATGATAATTTGAAGTGGGCAGCTAAGGGAGTATGACAGCCTTAACGTTCACCATATTGAATCTTTCGAGCACCTTTTCAATGTACCCCTTTTGACTCAAATACAATTTGCCATCCTTTCTATCCCTCAAGATCTCCATTCCAAGAATTTTCTTCGTTGCACCCAAATCCTTCATGTCAAACTCCTTGTTGAGTTGAAATTTTATTTTTCTAACATCTACTTTATCCTTGGCTACTATGAACATATCATCAACATATAATAA